CACAATTTGTGACGTGGCAATGGACTAATAGTACATCAATGACGCGTCGGTGTCTATTAAATTATTCATGAGACTGCGTGTTCTTATCCTATGAGAAGACGCTTCGCTTAATTATTCACAACAGCATGTGTTGATTTGCTATGACAGACGTTTCAGACTGTGAGATGACATTGCGCACATTAACTGAGAGAAACGTTCTTGGATCAAAAAAGAGGGTTTGTTTTTGCTTTCTAATAAGAGTTCGGCACAAACGCGATTCATTCACTTGGTGAGCATAACCATTTTTACAGCTCTGTGACGCAACCCGTCAAAAGGCATATATAAACGCCACAGAATAAGCCTTAAAAGTTCTCAGAGGTGCAACAGCGCGTTCATATATATGTTTTCGTACTAGCTGTCACATCATCACTTCATGGCTCAAGCTGATTGGTCTCCGTTTCATTTTCAGCCAGTGAGCTTTCTTGCTTAACATTTAAAGGGGTCCTATTATGCTTTTTCACTTTTTTAATTTTAGTCAGTGTGTAGTGTGTATGTTTGGGCATAAAAAAGATCTAGAAAGTTACAAATCTCAAAGTCCACTCCAAAGGGAGATATTTCATTTTTTAAAAATCAGTTTTCAAGAACTACAACGAACGGCTCGTTTGGACTACAGCATTTGTTTTCCGGGGCATGAGAGCATGTTCTAGTACACCCCCAAAACAAAATCAAGACTTTGTAAAAGAGTATAATAGGACCCCTTTAAATAGTTTGATTCTGTGTTTGCTGTAATAAAGTCTTGCAAAACCCTCCGCCTCCCCCAGTTCCACCCTATAGTTCTGCTCTGGGTAATTTCATGTATGCTATTTGTGCAGTAACAGTACATGCTCACAGCAACTTGTCTGTGGATTCATTAGCAGTAGCAAGTCTCTGTAATGCTCTGTAAAGTCTCTGAATAAAAGTACTACTAAAAAAAGAAGATTTGACTTCAGACTAAGAAGTATTCCTAAACATTAGTTTTTTATTTATTTATTTATTTATACATAACTGAATGGATTGTTGGAAAGTTGGCAAAAATTATTGTTCCCATCTGTCTCTAGGACTTTAAAGAGTAATTTTGATCCATATAACCCTCAATGTAGTATGGTGTTGCTGCTTTTTCTGACCTGGTATTGTCTCTGGACAGTTGCTGAAGTGGATAATTTCCAAGATTCAACATATGCTGCTTTGTGTATTAGCATAGTTTTTATAAGGTCAGCAGCCATCTCCTTCATTTTTGGCTCTTCTCTCAATCCCTTCTTCTCTGTCAGCCTCTGCAGAGGCATCATTAGCATTTTGCGGTCGAGCTAATTTGCTCCAGTGTTGCAAAAAGTGGCCCATTTTACTTAATAACAGCTTTATGTCATGTCTCCTGGACATAGAATTGGCTGTCAGATGTTGGGCAGGCAGATTTTCTGTGCCGAGATGATCCATTCCACAGCTGGTTTCTCTCTTTGTCTTTTTCCCACTATGAATATACTGACATGTTCCAAGGCAACAACGAGGCAAAGATCAACTTATTAGCTGCCCACCAGCATGGTTAAAGTGTCAGTCAAAGCCTGCAGTCTTCACATTCACCATTATCCTTGTTATTGACTTGTGATCCATCTCCTTTGATCACTGATGCCTGATTACTTTGACTCTCATTTCTCAAAGGCCTTGTGCAGTTGTATGGTTGATGAGGAAAAGCCACTTTTGGTGTCACGCTCTGATCAAGCACACAGTGATGTGTTAATAGATGAGTCGGAGAGCTGCTAAGTGGGATGGTGGTTTTCGAAAGGACTCAGGAAGAAGCATGAGCAGCTCTTTCTGGGATCAATTTTCCAGACGTGCTGGTCAGGCATCATGGCTATATTTGCAGCTAGGCTTAATGAGGAACGTCTCAGGTTACTTATGTAACCATGGTTCCCTGAGTAGGGAACGAGACACTGCGTCCTCTAGGGGTCGCTATGGGGAACGCCTCGTCATGACCCGTGTCTGATGGGAACGAAGCTATAACGCGTAACCGTTACCGTACAGGATTTCAGAAAGTGCGCAAAGTCTAGTGTGCACACTTACCACTTATGTGGATTTTAGAAAGTGCACAAAGTGCTCAGCGTGCACACTTACCACTACTGTGGAGATAGGTACTGGGCCAAACGGGAGAGGCAAGCTCAAATACGACCCTCTAAGGCGAGGGGAGCACTGCCTGAGACAGCATTACACAAGAAGGTTCTCGCGAATGCCACCTATATTTCCCGCTCGATGCCTCAGCAAGAGGGGATATCCTGGAGCCAGGACATCCAGGAATTTTTTGCAGTGTCGTGACGGAGGCCTGATGATCAAGAAGGCTCCCGCAGAAGCCTCTGACCTGGCCGCATGGTCCAGGAAGCATGAAGCCGGAACCAGGGCTATCATACCGGCTGGACACAATATCGACGAGTGAGGTAACACTGCAAGTCGAGCACCTAGTTTCTGAATCCAGCAAAGGGGTGCT